TGACCTATGGCCGACGTTTTGGCTCAGGTTTTCGCGGCGCCGCAAGCCGCGCCGCCATGCTTGGAGCCCAACCGGTCGGAGCGAGCACCTCGCGAGTGTTTTTGTCTTTTTTTTCTCCTGCGGCAGTTGGGGGCGAGTGTTTTTTCAAAACAAGTTGAAGCCCAAACACTGGCTTGGCTTTTTATCGGTTTTCCAGCTTTTTTTTTTGTTCCCTTGTGAGCACCATCCAAAAAGGCGCGCCCACTTTAGGAGACACCTACACTACAGACAAACAGAGGTGGTTTTAGACCTGCCTTGATTTTACGTGTGACATTTGTAGTGGCCCCTCAAAAGGTTTCGGTGCGTCGGAATATCCGCTGCTTTTCTTGACTCAGCTGCATGTTTGGATTTTGTAAGGCACCCAGAAGTGTCCCTTCCCACCCCCCCTCCCTGATACATCTCTGAGTAAAGCAGCGGTGCGTCTCCGGGCATTTTGCAGAAGCTTTCCCTGGCGACGACTGCGGCAAGGGGGTTTCCCTTAAAATCACCTCTGCCAAGTTTCCAGTGTGGAGCCCGCTCAAGTCGGCGGAATGGGCGGGAACTGCACGAGTATGCCTAGAGTTCTCCCCATGGCGAAGGCCTTTTGGATGGTTTTTGACGCATCGACTTTGGTCGCGTTCATTTGGTTGGCCTTTGCTTCATTATATGCGCCGTTAAAGGTGAACTCAAAAGCAGCCAACCAGTTTTAGGGCTCCCACCTTTTGATTCTGCCAGGATGTGGAAGCGTTTGGCACCTCCGCGCACCAAAGAGTTCTTTGCCCCGCGCTGAGCGGGTGTCATGGAAGGTTGCGCCTGCCTTTTTAGATCAGGTACCAACTTCCAAAACAGTAAAGTGGACATGTGTGATAACTGCGGGAATGGGGGGGGGGGACATGGAATTCAGAAGTGTCCTATGATGGCTAAACAAATACGATGCCATGTTGCTCGCATGCTTGAACAACCCCACATTTTCTTTGGGAAAAACCGAACCGCGCGCCAAGCAAAACACACGCAGGTGTCTGCCGTTTTCGGGGCCGCGTGTCGCGAAGTTCCGAGGCGAGATTGGACTGGATGCATGGCGCTATGGAGCTCTGGACTGCCAGCGGGTTACCAAGGGCTTTGGACTCGAACGAACGAATCCGGGTCTCTGAGCACTGAGTGCGCGACAGTTTGGGGCGTTTGGGGGTGGCCAAATAAAAGAGCACAGCAACACATTTGGACTCCCGAAATGGTGGTTTTGTTTTTTGGAGATTCGGTGCAGCCCCCAAAAAAGGGTGCTCCTAAAGACCATGTTGGCAAAGCTGGGCATGGCTTGGAAGCTGAGCCTCAAAAGGGCATGCCTATGTCGGGATGGTGACCTCAACTTCCCAAGCCCAGACAAAAAAAAAGAACAGACTCGCTCATCCCGTGCCTACGGGTACCAGCGCATGTTGTCAGTCTCCTTTTTTGGGGTTTGCCCAACTTGTCGCCTGCGCCTCCCCATTCACAGCCCACGAATGACATGCGGGAAGCTGCAAAGCGTGGGTTCGTGTCGTGTGCAGAGCGTGCCGGATTAGCGCTCTCTCACCAGACCGTTCTTCTTTGAGAGCACGACTGGAGGTTTTGGTGATTCGCTTTTCTGGATCTGGAAGACGGTCTGTATCTCTAATCTCTACGAAACGTCCTGAGTTTGCCGGGCTCGATGGCGAAAGTAGTTCCACGACTGCATCGTGCGAGTCGGCGGCAGCATGCAATTGTGGAGCCGTGTGGTGAGCGTGACACCATTGATAGTGCGCGTCGACGTGACATATGCCGGCATGTTCGGGAGCGCACGCAAACCCAAGTCGCAACCAGAACGGCCAATGGCTTAGATCTCCATCCTCTTTTCTTTCTCTTTCAAGCTTATGACTTTTTTGGAGCCTTTGGGTTTTGAAGCAATACCACGAGGCTTCCTGCGGCCGTGTTCCCTTTTCTCCGCCTGGGCTGCGGCGCGGGTGTCTCGGATCGGGATCGGCGAGAGGAAGTACTTGGAGCCTCTGAGCCCAGCCATCCTCACGGGCTCCCCGGCCGGCGATTGGGCCGGAGCCTCTGAGAGGGGGGAGGGAATTGGGGGGGGGAAGGGGGGGAATGGGACATTTTCCAAAGAGGGAATTGGGATTTGTTGAGGGTCAAACCAAAAAACACCTCTTTCTTTTTTCTCAACGTTTTCTTTTCTTTGGGAGACTGAACTCGGGATCCATACAGATGGAAAGGGATCATCCAAACCTGCAGACAAAAAAACAAACAACAAAAACGGAGACACACATGTACCGGTTGCCGAAACTGGCACGCATACCTCAAAAACGGGGAAAAACACAGCACGCCTCCTGCAGGGGGTGGCCATTTTGCTCACGGCCATCGGGAGTTTTGGTTCCTGGATCCTGAGGCTGGGCCACAGAAGGTGCGGTGGTGCGAGAGGAACCTGCGGCTGTCAGCTGACCGGGCCTGGGACCCAGCTCTGGAAAGGCTTTGGCCGGCCATTCCTCCCACGGAAGTGGATCAAAGATCTTCCATGGTTTGGGCCGCTTCTCCCCTAGCAAGATCAACGTTAATGGTTTTCCGACCAATGGTCCACCTGTTGTTCAACCCCCATATTAAAAAAAGTCTTTGTGTAGGGAGCCGCCAAAATGGAAGGGGCCTTTTGGTTCCCTTTGAATAAATCACTCCCCGAAAGCCTCAAACCAGTGATATAGGAACTTGCGCTAGAGCCTGAGGGTCCCGGCCAATGCCAAGGATGATAGAACCACCACGGTACACAGGAGTTTTGACCATGAGGAACTGAGTAAAATAGAGAGTTCACTGACCCGGGAAGCAAAACGCTCATGATGAAGGCATCTGGGGGGTTCCCTTGTTCCCAGTTTGGGAACTGTAGTAGTTTGAGCAGATTGGCTGATTTGCGCTGGCTCAAGTGTGGCGCACTGCCAAAATCGTCCTTTTCAGCCCACCCCAAAACAGGCAACAAAAGACATCCGAACGCTGATTTGTATAGCAGCCAGCGTGGGGCAACTTCCTGGTGTACTGAGACTTTAGCTTTTCAGAGCCTTTGCACCTGTGAACCTCCAGTTGGTTGTGAGTTTCAGCTTAGGTCCTGGTCGTGGATGCCAGCGACAAGGCGCTCTTCAGCCATCCCGGGGCGATCCTCGTGGATGACCGCATTGAGTATCGCAGGGGAAGCCCAGTGCTGGGGACTTCCCGCCGGGAGGTTGGAATGACAAGAAGGAATTTCTGAAGAAACGTTCGTCCCTTTTGGTTGGTCTTTAAAGGAAAACTGGAGGAACAATTGGTGCCATGTGAGGGGACCGGTGCCGATTTTGAGAAACCCCATACCGATACTCTTGTTTCCCTGTTTGGGGAAGTTGGCCAATGAAGTTGGCCATTTGGTGACTCATGGGACATTCTGGGCCATCACTCACATTGTTGTCCTTGTGGGGCTAAAACAGTGAAGCCCTGGAGGCAGCTCGCAGCTTCGTTTTTTTCCCCTTTTTTCCTCGAGCAACCGCCTGTGGAGCACCTCTCCCACGGCAGTGGAGTCAACACTCCAGCCGGTTCTACCGCGGTTGGGCTTGTGAATCTGCGGAGGGCCCAAGAAGCAGAGGAAGTCCTGAACACCAAACTCTTCCAGCAGAGGCCCCCCGTTTCCGGAGTGTTTTTCGGTCCTCCAATTGGTGGTGGTTTTCTCTCGGTTTCCTAGGCGCCGACTGGGAGGCGCGGGGCGGGATCTTCGTGCACTTCAAGGGGGCCAGAGCGCGGGGCCCTGGGTTTTGGCCGTGCGGCTTATGAAGTTTGAATCCCACACGTAGTTTTTGAGAATATCTTAAACCATCCTTTATTCAGTATCCTCAAAATAATGGCATTCCCTCTTGGTGTGTGAAGGGAAGCCAAGCCGAAACGTGCATTTCTCGGGGCCCAGTTTTTTCAAGAAACGCGGGAGAACTTCCATCACCGGAGCTTTTGCTCATCCGCGACAGCGCGGGATTGCTGCAGTTTTGGGTTTGGCTCAGCTTCGGCTTTCCAGTGTGCGGGCAATTTGTCAGGGGAATCTTGGTGAAGTGAAAAGAACGGGAGACCAAGCTCCGAGTTTCTCGGTCTTGGACCCAAGTTGCACTGCCAGTGAGAAGAGAATCCTTTCCCCAAAGCGAGGTCAAGGAGGACAAGAGGATTACAAGGTGCACTAGGGTAAGTAAAGGGGCGTGTTGAACATCTCAAATAGGATTTGGCTCAAAATCGGGATAGCCCCAGAATGCATGGTTTCTGTCTGGTTTCCCTGTAAAACTTGCCAAGAAAGGTACCCTCAATCTGGTTCCTCTCTTGTCCGAGGAGTCCATCGATATGGCCTGAGCCTCAAAATCTGGCTCGGGGGCCGGGTGGGTTTTGGTCGCGGGGCAGATGCCAAGTGATCAAATCATATAGAAAAGGCCTCCCTTTGCAATCATCGCAGGATGTTGGTGCATGAGTTTGATACCCTTACCGTTCCCGAAAGCATCGCGAAGGGTTCTTCCGTGCGGAGCCTTGGACCAACTAGCGCAGAGTCACTTGCGCAGACCAAGTTGCGCAGAGCTATCTGGGTAGACCAACTTGCACAGACCAACTTGCATGGAGCCGTTTGTACAGAGTCAGTTGCACAGAGTCATTTGCAAAGAGTCAGTCACAGAGGGAAGTTGCACTAGCTACTTACACAGAGCCAACTGCGCAGAGATACTTGCGAAGAGCAACTTGCGCAGAGCATCTGCGTAGAAGTGAGTAGTCTGGGAATAGTCTGGGAAGGTTTAGGCTGGGTAAAGAGCTTGGGCGTGCAAGGTCGGGTTCTTGGGCTCGGCGTTAGCAGCTAAGAAAGCTAAGTTTAGTTTCTATAGAGAAGATTCTTAACGCGTGAGGGAGCTCGGGAAGAAGGTTCTTCCTTTCTGGTGGGGGGTGGGGTCGTTGCCAGCGTGCGGGATTTCGGTCCACTGCGGAAATCGGCGTGGTCGATGTCAAACGATTTCTGAGAGCTTGTGTATCCCGGATCAAGCCTCTGCTGGGATCGTGCTTCTCGAAGCGCTCTCGGTTGCGCGGCTGCTCTTGTGACTGCGCGGTCGCGGGTTCGATCCACGCTGGGCCCGTGGAAATCCGCACGTTCTACGTGGGAAAGCCGCAATTTTTAAGCGCAAAAGCGCGATGCACGAAGTCATTCTCGCAGCTTCGGCTGGAAAACAGCAACTTTCCCGAATCCAAGTAGAACGTGAAGCACATTCCCGCGGAAAATATTGCACAGAAAAACTTGCGCGGAGCACTTGCGGAGAGCGACTTGCAGCGCAGAGCAACTTGCGCAGAGCGCTCGCGAAAAGACAATTGCGCAGAGACACTTGCGCAGAGTATCTTGCACAGAGCTCCGTGCGCCGAGCTACTGGCGCAGAAAAACTTGCATAGGGCGATTGCACAGGCAACATGCGCAGAGCAACTTGCACAGAGCACTGGTGCAGAGCAACTTGCAAAGAATGTGTTGCGCACGGACAGAATTTGCGCAGGGAAAGTTGCATAAAACAACATGTGCAGAGCGCGAGTGCGCAGGCAGTGCCACAGCAATAACTTGCGCGGAGCAGCTCGCGCAGAGGACTCGAAAAATGCCCCTCACGAAGATCAACTTGCACGGAGAACTGATTTGCCGTGGGTTGAGCACGTTAGCCACTATCCCGGGCCGATCCTCTGTTTGTTCACCGAATTTCACTTCGAGACGCCCTCTTAGCGGTTCCCGCGTCACAAGTTGCCGTTTTTTGTTTTGGATCGGCGAGCGTTTGCGAGTTGCGAGCCGCGAGGTGCGGCAGGCGCTGCAGAGGCTCTGCTACTGCGGCGCGCTGCCACCCGGCGGTGTGTTGGCCGGGGGCCCTGACGTGGCTTGGGCCAAGGCTTGGCCCTCGCTTGGAACCCTGGTTCAGAGAGTATTCAGGGGCGAGTGTTCATGGAGTGAGAACTAATACCTGCATGATTGAAGGGACAGTCCCAACCAGCAAGGCTTAAATCCCCACAGCGAACAGTCAAGACGAGTTAGAACAGCTGTTCATCTTGCCTTGGGTAGTGCTCGCTGCTGGATCACCAGCATCGACTATGCGGTGAATTCCCTGCCCGTAGACGGGGGATGGGACACTTTGTACGCTTGCCATGTCACTGGGGCTGCTCATGGGTTTTGTGCAGCATAAGCCTTTAGTTTTCGAACTCGTGGCCGCGTTGCGGAGTCATTTGGCCTAGGTTTGGCGATCAGCAATATGTAAATATATATATATATATATGTATACAGAGAGAGAGAGAGAGAGAGAGAGAGAGAGAGAGACAGAGAGAGACAGAAATAAAGAGAGAAAGAAAGAAAGACATCCAGCCAGCAGCCAGCCAGCCAGCCAGCCAGCCAGCCGGCCAGCCAGCCAGCCAGCCAGACACAAGAAGCAGGATGCCGAACAGTCAAGTACTTGTTTCCTAGTGGCCCTGTCATTAACTTCGTTTCACAGGGCAACATCAGAGTTCCGGTGGATCAGCCGAAGTGCTGAGGTGGAAAGACGCAACTCATTCCTGTGGCCCACCCATCTCGGCAAACCATTCAGAGCTCGGATGTTTGTTGAGCCGGGTCTCGGTGTTTGTACGACCTTCCCTCATGCAACCTCGCCTTCCGGCGGGCCCGCGCGAGAGCGCCTCAGGATCTCGCGTGAGTGCCAGAGCCTCAGAATTTGGTTGGGCTGGGCGGTTGGATCAACGAGCCGGCCTTATCAAAGCTCAAAAGCGGAGGTCCAACGAAAGGCTTTCGGTTGAATCTCCTTGGGATGTGCTTCGGCGCGGGTCTCCTTCGGCTCGCGATCTCAGGTTTGCACATGGCCTTCGGAATCCCCGAGAGCGGCGCGCGGCGCGCAGCGTTTCACGGCTCCGGTCATAGCTGGAGCCTGTCGATAGCCTCCGATGTGCCTCAGGAGTTCTACCTGAGGCTCACCGGCCATCCCACCTAGAGGGTGGCTCTTTTTTATGCATGGACCTGGCAGGTGTCTCCGGCAACTCGCCTGAGACGAGCACTGAAGCAGACGCAGAGGAAGCAGAGGAAATGTGTGTGTGTATATGACAGATTGAACCTAGGCATTGCCATTTTTGAGGCTCGATCCGGAGTTTTAGTTTGGTCCACCCATTCTCTACCTAATATCCGATTTTTCATCTCCAATTGGCACCTGTGATTTGAACCTTGCACTTCCGCCCTACGACAAAAGGGTTGACAGGGCAAAGCTTTCAGGTTGGGTGTTTCAAATACTTTGACCCAGTCTGGTGTGCGCCTGCCACGTTGCGAAGCTGCACTTTGCCAGCGGCGAGAGGCGAAGATAATAGGACACGAGCTCGAGGCCTCTTGCCGTACAAATCCGCTGGCGAATGGCAGCGTAGCGTCCTAAGCGGAAGACCAGGCGTGGCGAAAGTGCAATCCTCGTTCATGCGGAAGCAGTCTATGGAGCTGCAAGATAGGTGGCGGAAAACATGAGAAAGAGTTCAAGAAGACTGTGTGACTTGCAGCATCTCCGGGAGGAAACGGGCGTGAGAACACCACCTCACAAGCAGTCGCCGCACGTTTTTTTAATTCCACAAGTTTTCTTGCCATGCGATGAGGTTGGCCGCGTAGAACCGATAGGCCATAAGTGTGAAGGCTTCCCACTAGCTTTTTTTGGATGGCAGCACCTAACAAGTCACACTAAAAGCTGGGTAGTTGTAGAGTCCAACCGTAAATGGGTTGCGCCGTTTTTTTTTTTTTTTTTTTTTTTTTTTTTTTTTTAAATCTTTACACGGTTTTGGGAAGACTCGTTTGTTGGGACCCCCCCCCACGTCTTATTGCCATCCGATCTACCCATGGACTGTTGGACTTTGGGGCGCGCGTTAGGCTCAGACCGGTGCACTTGAGCACCCACCACAAAAGCACCACACGGGGCCGTCACTTGAGTAATTTTTACACCAAAAGCCAGAACGACCGCCTGGCCTGACAGCCTGTAGCTGCAAAAGTCGTTTAATGCCGCTGGGCTCGATCGCTGAAGTTGCAATGGGAGACAAGTGCATATTTCAATCGATGCCAAGTGACCTTTTCTCAAGGGTCGAGTCCGCACCCTTGCCACCCGGAGGGCATGATGCGGCCCGTGTGTGCCATGACCATTTAGTCATCCTTCCTGTGAGAGCTGCACAGGGACTTGAATCAGTGAGCCACTCTCTCACGACTCGAGCTCGAATGTTCTCTCCATGGCCCACGGGGGGCAGGGTAAAGGCCGGAGAAATTCCGAGGCCCGGACTCTGGACCGGAGTGGTCCAGGAGACTGCGGCCTGCGGCCTGCGCGCCTGCGGCCTGCGCGCCTGCGGCAGACGGAAGTGGCGCCGAAGCTTTCAGGGCGAAGAGGGAAGCGTGTCCAGTCGCGCCCAGTCTATCTCCTGCTGAGGCTGAGCCAAGGCACGAAAGCAGAGATATGAACGTCACAAATCGGAGACTTTTTTTTGGACCGTATGAAGGGACACCCACATGACACCCCACTTTGGATAAACCTAGTGCGGGGTGTTTTCTGTCTTGGCAGCACCTCAGACGGATATCTCGAGTCCTGAGCCGTGCTGTGCAGCCGCTCGCTCCGCTTCCGGAGGTCGAGGCCCAGACGAATGGCACTGCAAACGAGCCACGGAAGACTCAGTGGGCCTCGGTTGGAAGCAGAGACCTGGCCGAGCCACAGTCGAGCCATTCCCCGCGGCCCGAGTTGCAAAAGAAACGCGGAAGTGTGACGGCGTCTGAGGTTTGCAGCACAACTTGAGCCTCGGTCCTACCGAAACACTTGTCCTACACGCGCCATAGCCATGCACTGATCGCTGGGTAAGGTCATGTGGTCCACGCACATGTCAGGAAGGGCTCAGTTAAGGTCACCAGACCCCCGTTTCATGGATATGAAATCGGGGCGCCTCACGTGGCTAAACATGAGTTTTGCAAAATGACCTGATCACATGCAAGGATTCAAATGCGTGAGGCTTGTGTTTGTGGTTCCGCAAAAACGTGGATGAGCTTTCTAAAGTGAATGCAATGAAGCTGATCGAGCGGGGCCTTCGGCCAAGCCTTCGGTGGATCACCTCGGAGCCGTTGTTTTGCTGTTTTCTGCACCGCCTGGCCATTTCGGATAGCGCTCGGAAGGGTGCACCTCGCCGCCCACACACGGAAGTTCTGCCCTGTACCCAGGAGGCATCGAAAGCTGCGTCAAGGTGTACGTTGCCGGCCGTTTGTGGACTCGCGTGACGCCCCCTTGTCTCATAAGCCCGCGTTGTTCATCAGCGGAGCTTCCAGCAAAGCAAGGTTGAAGGACAGGTCGTCATGAGTCCGCGACCTGAAATGGCGCAACACGACCCCACCTACTTGATGGTTCTTGGTTTCAGGCAGGTTACACCCTGAATCCTCACATGAACAGGGCTCCTTAAAAGATACATTTTGCCAATTTAAAACATGGCTTTTTCCACCAAAATAAAAGGACGCCACCATTTCCAAGGCAATGTTCAGGTGCATAATGTAAGGATCCCTGATGAAACCTCTCACATCAGCCTTTTGTAGAGGAGGTTCCTTTTGGGTGCCTCTTTTTCGGGTGTGCTAGATTTTGTGGTCCTGGCCCTTGGTGCAGTTTTGTCCATCAGTCTTGAGGGACTCTGCAGACCAACCTAAGCAGTTTGGGCTTAAATTGCCTCACCGGGTCCAAACATAATTTCCACCAAGGCCAAAAAAGACACTTGGGGCATCCATGGACAAATCATTGGAATCCACCAGTCAGACCTCCACAAGTGACAACCCACCAGTTCAGACCTGAAGTGGCAGTAAATCCAATGGAATGCTCCACCAATTTCTGGTTTGCCGCTTTTTTGGGGCTCGATCGATTCGCCTGGCCGCGAGAGGCGCCTAAACCATGGGGACGGAAGCCATGCCGGGCGGCTCAGGAAGAGTCCGAGGACCTGCGTTCACCTTATGTTGGTCTTGCCGACCAGGGCCACAAATGGCCATGGGTCAAAATCCAAATCGTACCCTCAGTGAACATCCCAATCCCCACTAAAACAGACTAAGATGGGTGGTGCACCTACCCCAAAATGGTACCATTGGTTTTGACCCACAGCCAAATGGGTGTGTCTGTGTGTGTTCGCCTTTTTGGCAGGGTATGCTTTTTCAGGTAGGTCAAAAGAGAAGCCACGGGGTTTTTGCCGAAGCCAAATTGTCGGGGTCTGTATTGACGACCCAAGTTTTCGTGACTGCGGGACCTAAGAAAGGGGGCGAGGGTGGACCATACGCCAGAGCACAGCAACGCATGGGAACCTGACCTGAGGGCCCAACCCTTGAAAAAGGTAGAGTTGGAATCTGAGAACAAGATGAGTCTACACAGGGCAGGTGAGCAATGGTTGGAGGGCACCACGCTTGAGAGCGTCAGTACCCGGGGAGCCAAATGAAAGCGGGACGAGCCCTTCTCCTGGAGGTTGTGGTGTAGTGGAAGCGTCTTGGATCAGCCGGGCTGATTTTTCGGCAGAGAGGACTTGGAGCTTGAGCAAAGTCGAATTTTCAACCCACGTAGCAAGTTACAGCCATGGGAAGCAAGGGCGACTCACCCACCCCGTTCTGGCCGTGGTTACATCATGTTACAACCTACTCCTAAGCAGCGTTTTCGCAACGAGGAAACACTGCGAGCCGAATCAATCCAGAGAGCAAAGCAACAGCCTGGATGGCTGCGAAACAGCACTTTCTGAAATTCCGCAAAAAAACACGCTGTTGGGCTGGGGCTGTTGTTGGGCTGGTGGGCTGTTGGGCTAATGGCTGTTGGGCAGGATTGGCACTTTTTGTCCAGACCTGTTTGGTGGGTGGGAGAGACATTTTTGTTCTTTTCTCTTTGTGTTTTTTTTTTTGCATTTCCTCTTTTCTTTTCGAGACCTATGTAGCACTCAGCTGGAGGACTGGGTTTTGCGGGGCCCTGGCGTCAGGCTTGGACTGACGGGCAAGGACTTCGTGATCCTTGCGGCCGACGGTCAGGACCGGGGGTTCGGGCCGAGCGGGTCGGATTTCAGAGCGACAAGCCCTGGCCATAGGAAGGGATTGGACCTCTTTGCAAATGGCCTCAGAAGGTTCCAGTCTTTTTTTTTGGGAGCAACTGTTGCAAGCATATTCAACAAAATGCTTGTTGGCAGAACAAAGTCCCATGAGAGAACAACCGGCTTCGGGGCTTCGGGACTTCGGGGCATGTGCCAGCGGGTCACTCGAGGCAGCCTACTCGATTATCCGCCTGAAGAACGACGCAGACAAGATCTGGAAGGCCTGCGGGCTCTTGTGTTGGGTCGAAGGTCACACCACGGCATATACATTTGTAATATATATATATATATATTTATTTGACATATTTGCACAAAGTGCATTCTTAGCATGAACTAATTGCCCTACCTGGCTCAAGCAGAAGGCGTGAGCGCTTTCTGGTTTATGCTGGGCTTTTACCCGTAGCTATAGGGTATCAGCCGCAAGCCGTAGCAACCAATTTTACAGCTCTGCGCGAGCACACAGACGCACACGTGGATACTGGGTCGGGCTTTCCTTGCGAAAGAGGAGGCTTGTGGCCTAACTAATCAATTGCACTTCCCCGCCCTTTTAAAGCTCTCTTTGATTGGCAAAAAGCCCACGCACCATGCAAACATGGAGACATGCTTCTATCTTTACGCACGATAACTGTTTGGATAGGCGTGAATGCTCACTTTCAAGGGCCTATTGTGGATGGATAGAATCCACTTCGCACCAGTTGCGACAGATGAAGCCCCATGACAACTGGTTGATCAACCCCCAATCCCAACTGGTGCGAATAGGATTTTGTCCATCCACTGCAGTACTAACCCCTAGCAAAAGGATGAACCAGGGTTTTCGTCATGGCACCCTTACCATGGTTGTCTAACAGCCCTTTAGGGGGCATATTGACCTTCTGGTTCTGACCGGTGGCACCCAGGGTTGTGGGGTTATGACCCCTTTGGGATCCCCTCCCCCGACGCCGGACACGTTTTTCCACCCACCTGCGGCAGGTGGGGAAGATGCTCTTCGCCTGCTCCGGGCCCCCGGCGGATGCGGGGAACTTCGCGCCTGGGCGAAATGGAGACGGGGAGCGTTTCGGGGGAGAGCGGGGTCCAACCGGTCGTGGAGGTGTGATTTTTTTTTTTTTTTTTTTTTTTTTTTTTAAATATAAAATGACTGGGGGGGGGGGTGGTGGGGTGTGGGGGGGGGGGCGGTGGGGGGTGGGGTGGGGGGCCGGTGGGGGGTGGGGTGGGGGGTGGGGGGTGGGGGGTGGGGGGAGGAGGGGGGGGATGTCTTTCCACTTCCAGGTGATTAGACTGGCTGAGAGATGACGCCTTTTGTCCACTTTGAGGAAGCGAAATCGGTTCTAACAAACAGCAAATCGGGTCGGGGGCGGGGAGGTTGAGGGAGAGTCCAGCTACCTGACTGGTCCAAGAGGAAAGCAATCTTTGCGCTCTGCCGGTTCTTCATTTGAACGCCTCGACACGATTTAAACGTTTGACGTTTCAAGCACTGTAATTTGAAGCAGTAGGTAACAAGTGGCATGTGAATTCTTTTGAAAATCCACAAGGGCCCTCAGAACGATTTCTTTGGAGCGAACCCCTTTGGGGTACCCTTTGAAATGACAACAAAAGCACATTTTCCCTTTAGGAGAGTCTATCCCTTTGACACACGCACACACCGATAGTTTTGGGGAGTTTTACGTGGGTTTCCCGGTGTTGCCTTAGCAAAGGCCCCCTCACGCTGTTGTCACCAAGATCCCGCAGTGATCGGACACGAGACCTCTTTTCCAGGATGTCGCAAGACACCGGCGCAAGCCGAAACGTGCCGGAAGCCTCTGGTGCCGCAGCCAATCACCAATTCTCGCTGGCTCTCAGGGAATCACCTTGGGGTTTCGGGAAGGAAACTCATCAGCTGATTTTTTCTTTGGCCAGATGGAATTCATTGAGAAGAACGTGATTCTGAACGAGCTGAGAACCGGCATCCCTATGTCCACGAAGGCACGCGACCGCCTTTTTGCCTCAAGCGAGTAGCCAAGGCTGATCATTCGGACCTTTTGTTCCCTGGGTGGCCCCATGATTTGAAGCGTGTCTAAGCAATGGCCCTTTGGGCGCTGCCCGATTTAAAAAGCGCCCCATCCTATTGCTTTGGGTGGATGATTCAGGTCCTAAAGAAGTCTTGGACCAGTTGTACAAAGCAGAACCTGACATTCCCAGACCAAGCTCATCTCTTCTGGACTAGGTATACCCACAGCGCTTCCACTTTTCTTCTTCAAAGGAAGCATGGAAGAATCGGTCAACATTGCGGACCTCCATTGTGCCGCACCCTTTCTGAAAGGACTTCGATAAATGTTCAGGATCTAAAAGACAAACCCTGATTCACCTTTCATTCTTGCTTCTCAGATCCCACAAAGTCCCCGCAGGTGATTTGCGATTCCGAGATTGACGGGTCTCTACGTCCGGCCGCTCCAAAAACAGACGGTAAGACGCAACCAACTTGCCAAAACAGCAACTCTTTGAAAGCGGTTTAAACAGTAGGCCAACAAAATGGAGCTTCTCTTTTCACAACCACACCTGACATGTGTGTGTCGGGAACTCTTTTGACAGCTGCTAACAAGGAACCACTGTTTTTGAATACCCTTGCTGTGATTTTACTTCCAGGGGTGTACCTGACTTCGGCCCCCTTTCGAGTTATCTTTCATTCCTTTTGGGTTTGCCAGATGAAAACTTGCCGTTTGAGGCTGCGAGGCAAATCAGATCGTCCAGCACCTTTCGTATTCCAGACAGGCTTTTTACGGGTTCTCCTATGGCTCCAGCCGCAAGCCGCGTACATCAGCAAAAGCCGGAACATGAAGGCCGGGGGTTCTGAAGGCCTTCCGGGTTGCCTTCTGGAACTCCTTAAACAGACAAAAAAAAACACAGCCCCTTACAAATATATATATATATATATATATACATATATATATATATACATATATATATATATATATAGATACGCACACTCACAACCCTCTTTGCCGGGGCATTTCCCGTCTGTGCTTTTAGCTCTGCCGACCGTCCAAAGCAGCGCCCTTTTTTCCCCCCCCCCCTTCCCCCGGTGGGTTTTCCAGGCCGCCGCGAGCTTCACCCGGAACGAGCTGGCCCACGCGCTGCGGAAGGGGCCCTTCCAGGCGCGCTCCGCGCTCCGCGCTCCGCGCGTTCCGCGTTCGAAGGAGCGCCAAGCCGAGCGACGGAGCGGCTCAAGCTCCGAGAGATCGAGACGACCTCCCGAGGGGGGCGGAGATTTTTGAGGGGCGGACGCTCTTTTTTGTGTCGTTTCGCCAAGGCAATGGTAGGGTGGCTCTGTTCTGGTTTTTTGAGTTGATTCCCGGATTTTTATTTTATTTTTTTGTGTCGAAAAAGGAAAACCAAAAAGAAGGCCGTTTGGCCATTTTGGGGGGTCCCCCAAAACGACATACCCAGAAAGGGAAACAGTGGCTTAGGCCGATTGAACATGGCAGCATTTGGTTCCAGCATTATTAAAGGTTTCCTTCAAACATGCTATGGGGCTATGAAGCGTGACCGGCCCAGCCAAAACGCTTGGGTGCGTCTCCGTGTCTCTTCCAATACCCGCATGCCCTGTAACATTCTCCGATGGAGGCACATGCTCATACCACTGGCGTGAATTTTGGACCAATGTGATATCTGATTTGGCAGCTGGTCCAAACATGGACTCCAAACATAATCGACCGCTGATATGATCAAGTAGCACCAGCTCTGAACAGTTGGATTGTGATGTTTGGATTCTTGAACTGTTGCTTGGCTTTAGCGCTTTAAGCTGAAGTCTGGATGTTGCAGCGATGCAGCCGCTGAATATCCTGGCCAGACTGATCTTCTGGTGGCTGGCGTGGACAACGATGGCCCCAGTCTCTACTTCATGGCACCGAGCTCAGCGTGCAGTTTGCCAACAGGAGACACGATAGATATATTTTTCCTCCACCGAACATGGCACCTGGAAAAAGGTAGCTCGAAGATGCACTTCCTGGTGAAGGGACCCCCTGTCCATGGCTGTTGTTGGGAAACATTTTACATTTTTGCTTATTGTGGTATAGTGGGAAATCCCCACTTAACTGCTGAAATTGTTGTTGATCCCCTTCCAACGTCAACCAAGTGTCAGTTGCCATGTTAGTGGGAGGCTCCCACCCTTTTTTCCCGTAGCCCCACCTTGGAGGATGATGGCAGAGTGGCCAACGTTCAGATTTGGTTCGGCGACAGCAACTCAATGTTCATTTGCCAATCCGTGCCTGCTGGAATGAGGGATGATGTTTTGGCATTTTTGTCACAGCCGCTGGGTTTTCTATTCGACACACAAGTTTCGTCTGATAGACTTTCACTCCCCTGCAAGTTCACATGCGCGAGTGCCCCAAATGGAGTTTCCTCTAACGTTTGATGCTTTTTCGGGTTCAGGGTAGTTGAATGTCTTAGCACCCCACATCTGTTGCTTTCTTGGACAGTCGCGGGCTGGCATTTGGCAAAAGGGGCAGCTCGCTGGCTCCGAGGACTATCTTGCCAGTAGCGAGAAGGTGAACAAGGTCCCGCGTGAGAGAGACATCCGTGGTACGAACATGTGGGCATGCCTCAAATGGGATTCTTCTCAGGTTTTGAAGAGACAAAAACGTGGACCCTCACAGGGGCGGGTTCCCCTACTTGTCAAACAACTGCATACACAGTTTGATTTGTGCCAGGTTTGCTCTCGCTCTCTCTCTCTCTCTCTCTCTCTCTCTCTGACGGCTGAGTGGCGGACAATGAGTCGAATGATTCGCTGGGGTTCACGCGAGGCTGCCCATGGCTACGGCGCCATGTTCACGCTTGGCCTCATGGCGCGAGCCCCGAACGACCAACAAAACTTGGCCGTCAGGGCCGTTTTTTGTTGGATGCGCCGATGCAAGAAGCTAAGGATCGCTACTGGAAGCCCAATATGGAGGAAGCCGAGGCGAGCTGAAGTCGGGCTTCCATTTTCGGAAAGATGGGTGAAGAGCAGAATTTGGAAGCAGAATGCCTTCTGAAGTCCGTAGACACAACTTGCCACCAAACTGGATGTCCACTGATGGTTCCCCAATTGAGACTTCAGGTCCATACTGCGGATGGAGAATTTCCACTTCGCACCAGCTGGGATCGGCGGTTTCTATAAGGGTCTCATCCATCACTGGCGCGTTTAACCATCCATGTGGATCGGGGCTCCTTAAAAGATACATTTTGCCCATTTGAATCATGTTGCTTTTTCCAGCAAAATAAAGGGGCACCACCATTTACAAGTGGCAATGTTGAGGTGTATAATGTAAGGATCCCTTGTGTGGATGCATAAATTCCACTTTGCACCAGTTGGGATCGGCGGTTTCTTCCAGTATCAGTATAAGGGTCTCATCCATCACTGGTGCGTTTATCCATCCCTGTGGATGTTCTGCATGCGAAGGCCATTGACATCATCAAGAAATGCATCAAGGAGCTCGAGACGCGCGCCGCCTCAGCTTTTCAGCTTATCGGAGTCGACATGAAGCTCGAGGTGCGCCAAAAAGTTGGGGACCCTGATTTTTCGGATTGCTTCTCGAGGGCCCCAAAGAAGCTAGACCCATGTTTTTGGGGGAGGCCCACATTCTTAGCAGCCTGTTTTACATATATATATATATATATAATATAGATACACATATGCTCGGCACGCTGGCGTCACGTATGCTTGAGGCGCTTCATTGTGGAGCTGCCAAACTTCAAATGCCCGGACGCCCATGCCGCCGCATCCCCTGGAAACCCCGAAGCGAGGTGAGACGAGTGTGCCGAATCGGTGAGCTTTGGGTTTGGGAGCTTCTGGTCCTGCCTACTGTGGATGGACAAATCCTGCACCACTTTGAAACCATGGGAAACCATTTTTTTAGTTGGTATTTACAGGGGAATCATCATCTTTTTAGGGTTTCTTCGGTGGTGCAGAGGATGTCGTCCATTCACAGTATGACACCTGCCTGTGGCCAACGGCCCAATGCACCTTCCAGCCAATGGGAATCGGTTTCGGTTTCCTCGAGGCAAGATTGTGAACAAGGACGGCGTCAAGGAGGTGAAGCCTGGACCTTGATCGACGCATCGGAGGTGTTGAGCACCCCTCTTCCCACCCACCCGTCCTTTTGTTGTTGCCTTTGCTCGTCCTCTTGACCTTCTGATGTGTTGTTTTTTGGCCTTTGTTCGACCTCTTGACCTTTTGGGGCATACAGCTTGTTCCCTTTGTGAGTTTGACAGCGGCTTTGCCTGAGCGACATGCCGTAGGGCCTGTTCTCCCGGTTTGCCAAGGCTTTGAGGCTTGGGCGAGCTAAAGAAGCGAGCCCGGGCAGCGGCGAGGTGAGTCGATTGCTCCCGGAGCAATGGGGAGAAATGTCAGTCTGAACAGGACACCAGGTGGCTGGCACTCGCGAAAAGTGGGAGAAGGGCGCTGGGTAAAGGGACCTGGATGGAAAAGAATGAGAGCCAGCATTGGTGCACTGATTTGCTCGGATGTGTGTGTGTAGGGAAAGGTGAACTGACCATTAGATGCACTCGGCGCATTGGTTGCAAGTCAGCGCTCCAAAAAAAATTGCACAAGTGAACTCGGGAGGCAATTCAAATATCGACGCATCCGGGGGAGAAGGCCCAAACAACGACACACCGCACAATTATCCATCTCGAAAAGAATGTGACGTGTGAGAAACATCAAACGGCATGTTTGTCTAACATATATAAGATACTTCCGCTGTTTTTTGCGAGCAGCGTTCCTCTATAGCTCTCTATGTCTGGGCTTGCATTGCTCCAGTTCGCCTCCTGTTTCCAGTTCGATCCCTAGGAGCAAAAGTGCCAAAGCTGCCTCTCTGCTTTTGCAAAGGCCGTCGCAGAAGCCAAAGCCAAACACGCAACTCCAGGTGGTTGGGACGTAGTGATACAGAATCTTATATCTTAAGAAAGGCAATCCCAAGCGTCCTCCCAGTCCCCCACGAAGCACTGTGATTCATCATTCGCGGGGGGATTTCCCGTCCCGCGGAGTGCTCCAGAGGGCTCATCGAAGAAGTCGAACCGAAGTACTTCGAAAATCCCCTGCGACGCGAGCGGATGCTGTGTGCATTGGGGGGGGCGCGCCATCCCAGGTGAGATGGTCCGAGTAATTTTGGGGTCCAAGACTTAAGGAACCCTAAGACGGCTTCCCAACAAGGGTTCCCCCCTCCCCTTGGTGTTTCTCAAAAAAACACATTCCCCTCTTGCCTTTTGAGGCAAGCTCTTTTCCGCTTGCATCCTACGGCGCGCTCTGCTTCGCTCTGCTTCGCTCTGCTTCGCTCTTCCAATTTCTTGGGCCTGCCCCTACCTGGGCCAGCGCTGAAGATCGACCGCTGCACCATGGGCTCCAGAGGCAGCGGACTTCGGAATTCGCGCTTTCACCATGGCCACAAAGCTTCGAGACACTTTACATGCATGCAAATGCCTGTGCATGTATATTTCTATCTATATGAATATCTACAGAATGCAAGTACATGCATGCACTGACACGTCGAGGTGCATGTCCACACACACACACACACATTCACATGTGTGTGTGTGTGTGTGTGTGTGTGTGTGTGTGCGCGCTTGTGTGTGTGTGTAGATTTTATGCACATGTACGTACATGTATATATGTGAAAAAGAGAGAGGGGCAGCAATGTTTGACATCTTCAGGCGTACACGTGTGATTTGCATACCTCAAGCAGATGCTTTCCCGAGCCATGGGCCTCGCCGGTGAGGCCTGTGGGAGGTGGCCAAAGCCCAATGGCCCCTTTGTGCATTTTTTCATTTAGTTTTTTTAGTTTTATTTTTTTGGGAGGAGGGGAAGTCAGTTTCAAAGCGCATGGAACCGTGGGGTCCACCGAACCTGTCCGCGCTCAAATTCAGCGGGAGCAGACGCTGGAGCGGAGCGACGAGAGTTTTTAATTGGCTATATGTGAGAACTGAGGACAGGTTGGTTCTCAAGCAGATTGAGGGGAGGGGAGGGGGAATCAAGCAGTGCCACCTGTCATGACACTTCCCAAACAAAAGGCCGGGAGTATGAGTAAGACTCAGACCGGGGCTAGAGCTAGTCATGGAATCGGGTGCCCCAAGCTGTATGACCAGCCACGAGTTGTGGCGTGAAACAGTTTTGACCATTCCGAATTCTGTCAGGGAGAAGTTTCAACTTCGGCACGACCATGAGCCCACGTTCGAGTCTTTCTCGAGCCTGGCGAGGACCCCCCACTTCCTGAAGCAATGGACAGCACTCGCCGAAGTGCGCGAGGGAAGCTGAGTTGATCCGGGGCCCCGAAGGATGTGGACCCCAGGGTGGGCGTTTTTCAACCATCGCCAAGGCTTGCACTTCACACCTCAGTGGGGATTGATGTACTTGGGTGCTTGAACATTTTATTAGGGATATGTCACAGCATGTATATGTTACCTCCTTAAGGACCCGCGCCCCGGCCAAATATGCCAGACATTACGTTGGCTTTCAGCGTTGTGCATGTCATGTTCAACCCCTCAAAAATGGAGGTCAACTTGTGCACCTCTTAGATCAAAGAAGAAGGACCTCAAACTTTAAAGTTGTTCGGTGTGGGCCCAAGATCCAAAAGATCCAAGAGTTTCCGGAGAAGTTGAAAACGTCTTTGCTAGATCCAAGGGCAAAGATTCCCTGAGCAAATTTCAGTGCAATCTTTAGACTTAGTCTTTGATCCAAGAAAACGTGTTTGCCAAGGCGTCATCGGCTGGGCCTCAGTCCGTGCTTATGTAAAGTGCAACTGGAAGCAGATAAGGCATTGACGCCTTTGCTAAACTGAATGTGATTTATTTGCCACAGGATTCTAACTAGACACGTTTCTCCAAGGCTTTGAATCGTGTCTTATTCGAGTTCCAATCTGCTATTTTTATTTTGATTTGAGTTTGAAACAAAAAGTTCAACTTGGACATGCTTCCAAAATGTGATGTTCAATCAGTTCCAAAATTGTTCTTCGGCGGGACCCGCAGTTATCATTAACACTGAAGTACACGCAGAGAACACACATAAATTTCGTTTGGATGTCAATATCATATTGCTATTTGGATCGGCATGAATCCAATTCCCAAGTTGATGCGACACGGATTGTATTTATAATTTAAATGGTAGCAGACAAGGACATGGATGATTGCTGAAGCAAATCTGAATTGGATGTCTATTTCAATCAACAATTTAAGTCTGATGTCCTTTGACACAGTGTTTATAATATTGTTTTCAAAAGGAGTTATGTAAGGATGTGCAAGCCTGTAAAAGTTGGTTTCAATGTCACATTCCTTTCTGACACTCAATTGAATTAGAACTACGACGTCAGAATAAATACGTTTGATGTGGTTGAAAGAGTAGCTTAAATGTTTTTTCTTCGTGTTTTCTCCGAAATCATGGCCTGGAATGCCTGCTGTGAATCGCCCAAACACAAAAAGGCAGGTCCATCGTGGGGGGGGTATGTGTAAACACATTATATATGTATATATTTCTAGATATATGGTACAGCGTTGCCAGCACCCCCCCCCCCCCCCCCCACAATGGTCATGGGCCAGTACCCCCCCCCCCCCCCCGCCCCCCCGTGGTTGTGGTCCTGTGGTTGGGTTGTGGTGGTTTAGGGTTGGTTTAGAATTGGTTTAGGGTATATTTAGGGTGTATTTAGGGTGTATTTAGGGTTAGTTTAGGGTTGGTTTAGGGTTGGTTTAGGTTTAGAGGTGCACGGTTTAGGGTTTGGTTTAGGGTGTATTTAGGGTTGGTTTAGGGTTGGTTTAGGTTTAGGGTTTATTGTTTAGGGATTGGTTTAGGGTGTATTTGGGGTTAGTTCAGGGTTGGTTTAGGGTTAGTTTAGGTTAGTTTAGGGGGTCGGGGTGGGGGTGGGACCGTAGGTGCCAGGATCCGGGGGGCTCGGGGTCTCGGGCCGGGGGGGGGGTCCTGGAGGACCCATACCATATTGGGGGGAGGGGGGGGGTAGCAACACGGAACACGGGACCATATATATATATATATACATGTATAGATACACACGTGTTTACTATACGCGAGATTTACTTACAATGTATGGCCAGGCTTTTTCAGCTGATCTTAGGATTTATGTATGGTTTAGGCGCGTTGGCGCTCGTTGGCGAGCATGGACTTTTTTTTTTTTTTTTAAAGCTGGCTCGCCTACAGACTAACATTCTCAAACAAATGACAGAGAAAGGAATGCATCGTTTCTTCGAACGCTAGAGGCTCAATCAGCCGGAAAAAGCCCAAGAAACGCCAACTAAGGGTTGAACAATTGGCCCAGCATTCAAGCAAAGGCTTTAAATGACATACAAAGACAAGGCCGAGACATGTTTGTGTTGTGTCACGCCGAAGGGTCCCTTGAGCGCGTATTGCTCTTGGGAAGTGAAACTCATGGGTATCGCAAACTTGGAGAACCAACACGATGCGTCAAGGGGGAGGTTGCCGCACTTTCAACACCCTTGCTTCTTCGTCACACCAATACATGCGTTTTGCCAGCGTTTTTGCTGGTTTTTGCGTCAAGCCCCGTCCTCGCTGGCGCGGGGGGCGGGGGGGGGGGGGGTTGGGTGGGGGGGCAATCTCGTCATGGTCACATGAAGCGGACCAAGCCGACGGCCGCAGAAGCGGCTGCGAGCGATTTCCGGACTCATGTGGGCAAAGTCTGTGTTTCTTTGTGAACACCCCGAGCTTTTTGTGGCCGTGCTTCGTGAACACTCCAAAGCCCACGAGAGGGGCCGAAAACTTTAAACAAAGTTGTTGAACCCCTACGCTCCTCAGCTCCCAAACTACGACCGAGTGCAGAACAGGCAGCAGCATCAGCAACTTGCCCCGCAGTGGAAGCAGCTGCTGTAGGTTCGGAAGCTCTGGCGCCGAAGATCGTACGCTGATGCGGTCGTCGGATGATGAATGCGTTAAGCCATTGGGGGTTCATTTCCAGAAAATGTAGCAGGGAAGTAAGCCTCCGGCAGGACTTGTCCAGTTCTCTTCGCGCTCGCCCCTCGATCTCAGCCGATGTCAGGCTCGTACTTCGGCAGGTTTAGAGGGGCGCTCATCGACGATCTGATGCAGCTGGCCCGGCAAGAGCGCGGTTTTCTCCACGAGCAAGGCTTCGTAGACAAGAATAGCCGGAAGCCCATGATGATCCGTGCTGGTGCTTCGGCGGTGACCGTCATAGGAGGGGACCAGGCGTGCGAGTCGCTGGCTGCACAATAAAGCGAGCGCTGCGTTGCGTGAGTTAATGTGAACCCGCTGGCAGCGCTCTTTTTTCAGGCAAGCCAGGCATCGAATCGATTTTCCGTGCCTTTGCAAACTATAGGTAACAGCATGAGGATACCCTTCCACCAGCTGAATTGTAGACTAACTTGCGGTGGATGAATGTCGCGTGACAAAAGACGTCATTGAAAAGCGCG